AAAAATAAAATCTCTCAGTCAATCAGAAACTCGGATTCATGCCTTCAGGGAAAGTCATGTTTGGACGCTCACATCGATTTGTTTTTCGTTCGGTGGGCTGATGCCTTCGGTGTAGCTTTTGCATCTTCCGACATAGAAATCATCTGAATCTTCTTTCTACCTCTCTTTCTTTTCACACCACGCATAATGTAATGATAAAAATTAAGAAAAAACGCTGAGGAAATATAATGTTTGGTTTGCTAGCGAGCGAGAACTGATTTGAGAATAATTGCACATGCGCGTGAATTGAATGAACTATGACCCGTACAATCTCGATTTGCATATTGTCAATCAAAGGTCTTGTTATTTGGTTACTCATGCAAATTAGGCAATTGGACATAAACATTGCCACGTGTGAGTGTTTTTTATTTTTAACCAGAAAATAAACAGCAATTTTAACGGTGTTCCAATAAGAATTCATTGGTCAAATTTTCACAGAATGTTCTTTAGATAAAAATCTATATAAAAAACGAAAAAAACTATTTTTGATTGAAATTCACAAATAAAGTGCATCTCTACCTTAAGAGCAAATAGAGAACAGTTTACAAAGTTGCATTAAAGTGATCACACGTAACATCACTTCTGTAACATGATACAAGCATTAAAAAACAGTTACGTGCGATTTATGCTAAAGCTAATTTGTTTGTACGTAGTCAGTTTGGTAAATGTTCTCTTCATGTTGAGCGTCTGCTAATTCGAAGGCTATTGCTCAAATTTGTCTTGTAGACATCTATGATCAGATTTTACTAGCGGAGATTTTCATTGAATTCGAGTAGGTTATAATAATTATTGGCGACATTGTATTCATGTTGATGACTTTCAAGTTAAGTTACACAAGACTTGTGTTAAGTTACACAAGACTTTTCTCAACGAATCATACAGAACACTAATTATTAAAAGAACCTATTAAATCATCTATGTGAAGTAATTGGCGCAAACAGTTTTTATGTTCTTAGAGTTTCTTTGTTTTTTATATGGGCTTGTCCTTAAATAAAGTTAATAATATTTATAAGTATACATTGCTATGAGTCCCATATTGAACAGGACACAGCGCAACAACCACTGCCCTTTAAAAGTGGATCTCCAGCACAGATTAAGCAGTTGGTAAATCTCAAATTTGAGTGACAGAACTCAAATCTAGGCAAATATAATTTTCTAACCCAACCTTCAACAAACTATACATTTTTATTGCATCACAATCAATATCACATGACCTTATTAGCTATGTTCATGATACAGGATCTCAGCATGTGTTGAATATTTTTTAACTGTTATGTTTGCAGAGGGGCTGCAGCACTTGCATTCACATTAATCGGGACCCACTTGGGAACCACTCAGCTCGCGTCCTCATACACCTGTGTTTTGTTCTAAAACTAAACTAAAAAATAATCACCTTTTTTCTTTCTTGTCTTTGTCCTCTTTCTTCTCTTTTTTATCTTTTTTTTCATCTTTTTTATCTTTTTCATCCTTGTCTTTTTTATCTTTCTTTCCTTTCTTCTCTTTTTTATCCTTCTTTGCCATTTTTTTCTTGTCCGGGCTAGAGAAATCAGTGTTACATGTATGATAAATACCCTTCAGCTTAGATAGCAACTGAAGGAATACATGAACATGAACAGAAACAAGTCATGTTTTCAGACTGTCTGAACAAAGACTAAAAACAGGGTTTCTTGACCTACAACTGGAATTACTGTAAAAGGTATATTTACATAGTCGCTACAAGAAAGTTGACACTAAAAGGTTCCAAATATGTCCTAGAATGGTCAAAAAGAAATCTAAGGTATTAGACTGGTTGCTATGGGTGTGGTTATAATTGCTATACCTAATTTCCAACGACAATGTTGACCATATTGATTTGGTATTGCATGCTTAGACATATTAGCAACAATGTCACACTTTGCTGTACTGTGTGTCAGTATCATTTGTTATATCTTTGACTTTGCTATGTATAGAGTTACGATTACATAATCACGTGTCGTGACCATGACCATATTAGCTAATCACATCACGCCATGTATGTTGTCATGAGCTGATCATGTGTTCCGCAATAAAAAGTGGCACTTCACCGCTAACCTACAACTTGATAACTTGTGCGTGTGTCTCTTTTTTCGATACGCGAGTTTTCACGTATTGAGTATACTGTGTAGCAATGAGCTACAAAAGTAGTCATATTTACATATAGCTATGTTTAGAATAGTTACATGTAAATCATGTGTCGACAATGAAACTAACAAACATTTTACTTCAATACCTTGGTATGCAGCCCTTCATTCCATTATGACAGGACAAATTAGGGGCTGTAAATATTCCTCAACATTCTTTGTCGTTCAGGAATTTAGGGGGACGGGGTATCACCTTTAACTTTTTCACCACTAGACTTTATTGCCCATTTTTTTCTGCACTTTTTTTCTTATATTCTCCGATATTTCTGAATTAAACTTTAAATTTGGAGCCAACAGACAAAATTTGGATAAATTTCAGTTTTCCTCCAAAATTTGGCAATTTTTGTCCCAATCTTCTGAAGGAAAGTGCAGACTATAAATGTGACTATTTTGTGAATTTGTGATGAAAAGAAGGAACTGGTGGTGAAAAGGTTATAATAAACATATTACTCTGAGGGGGCAAACATTATTTTTTATCTATAATCAGGTTTTATATATTATTTACCTTTTAGGTGATGTAACATTGGTATTTACTTGCGCTGGTCGTACATTCTCTGGACTCAAGACATTATTTGTGGAGAAGAAAGTTTCAACCCCTTCTGTCACATTGATATTTTTCTCTTCTCCTAGATTCTGATTTTCAACTATTGCATTTGTTGTTACTGTCCCAGTGTTGTTTACTTTTGCCTCTTCTGCAATTGCCACGATAGGCTTTGTTGGCCTAATTTTTATATTTCGGTTAGGTCGAGGTCGACCTGATGTTATACGGTTCAGTGGTGTATGCTGTGTTGGTAAATCACCGAAGTCTTCTATTGGAGAAGCTGAAGGAGGTCTGATCACTTTTGGAAAAAAGGAGAATGAAAACGAAGAATTTTCTTTAATAATGTAATGTAGTTTATTTTCACTTGAAATTTATTTTTGCTGGAGCCAGTGAAAATAAATAGAGTTAAAATAAGTTTTTCTTCATACATTTTACATTTCATCAAAAATCATTGAAATATTAATTCATGGTATATTAACTAAAATAATGTGACGTGCCATTATTATTTTTGAAACTGAACTGGCCACGTGAAGTTTTGAAATTGCTCCAAAGATGCAACTAGATAAACATGCATACATGAATAACGACAGTTAACATTCAAAAGTGACCTGAATATAGCAAAAAGCATGTTCTCATGAGAGAGGCATGATAGCACCGGGTCATGCTGGATACAGTATTTGACTTTTGAAACAGTATTTAACCAAGATAAATATTTGTGTAAATCGTGTTGATGTCTTACGCAGTTATAGTCATGAACACAGAACAGCCAGTGTCCGGCCGACACAAACATGACAACCACAAGCTGCGTACGTTTCTTCAAGTTTAAATGGATTACAATTTAAAGTCAATGTACTGAGAACCTTTATTGGGCAAACTAATTACTAACTAACTATGTGGGGAAAAAAAGATCACTTACCTTCTGGGGAGACATGCTTGATAGGTGTGACAGGCGAAACGGGTGTAACAGATATTTCTTTACCATGCCCGAGTTCATCTCCTGAAGAAGCCCCGAAACTACTGTCCTGACTGATGTTATCATTTCCATTTGGGGTTGTTTTTCTTTGTTCCCCTATATCTGGCTCATCATCAGAACTGGAGTTGTCTTTAACTCTCATTAAGGCTTTTACTGGCATAGTGGGAGTAGTTTCAGGTGTCTCCATGGGGGATACGTCATGGATAAGTTTGGTTGAGTCTGAGGAAAGGGGTTAATAGTCATTACTTTAATATAAGCCAAGGAAACCTCGTAATTTTTATAAAGACATTCAAGCTCAAATTTTAGATAAAGTTTGTAGTGTATTAACCTTGTATGACCTGAATATGACATCATCACATTAGCATATCAATGACGTGTAATTCTATATATGGAGATGTTCATTTGAATAAATTGTGTTCCCGTTCCAATGGCCGACTGGTGTCTGTTTACTATATGCTAATCATCAATATACACAGCAAAGTTCTTCAACCTTATCTGATAATATCATTTAGTGAAATTGCATTTTCAAATTTGATATTGAAGCAAACCATAGACAACTAGGCATAAGTTCTAATTTCACAAGCCTAAATGAAAAAAAATACCCATCTCAGGTTTCCAGACACACTGATTGGTTATATTACTTTCATGATATTATTCAAATCCTAGTTCACAAATACAGACCTTGTCAGTGTATGTTGCCAGAGTATAGTAGAAACAATTACTCTGGTGGGTAAGAATAGGATAAATGTCAAAATTTTAAATTTTAGAAAAAAATAAGGGCTGTTCCTTAACAACTGAAAGTTGACCAAGTTGTGATCAAAACCAGACTTGGGTGGTAGGAATCAGTTCCATTACCCATTATCTATTTTCTACAGGAAAATTTTTGAGAAAAACATGTAAACTAGCGAGAACATAGATCACTTATAAAGGGTTTCTGATTTGTTTTGACATCAACTAGAATCAAAGAAAGCTTAGAAAGAACTCTGTGCTCTGTGAACCATGTGCTGAGAGTTTTGGAGACACATTAAAAATTAATTCAAAATTACTTATACTTGAGATATTGATGGAATAGCTGAAAACTCATTATGCAAATAAGGTAACTAATATGACCAGATTTAAGTGTAAAACTAATAAGGTCTGCACAATGTACCAAGTTTCATTGAAATGTGATTAGAACCAAAAAAATATTAGTTATTATGCTAATTAGAGAATTAATATGAACAGATTTTAACCCAAAATTAATCAGGCTGTCTATTGTCCTAGACCATTTATGGACCAAGTTTTATTCAAATGTGATGATCAATACTTGAGATATCAGTATTAATTAATTATGTTAATTAGGTGATTAAGAAGCATAAATATTTACCAAAAACTAATATGGTGCATAGTCTTAGGTTCATTGAAATGTGATGGGTACTCTTTAAAAGTTTCATTGAAATCCAATGAGTTGTTTTTAGACATCAGTGCAACAGCCATAGAACAGCAAAAAATTAACTAATTATGCAAATTAGGTAATTAATAGGCACAATTGTTTATCCCAAAATTAATCAGGTCTCTGCATAGTCCTAGAATATTATGTCGCAAGTCTCATTGAAATGTGATGATTAGTACTTGAGATATCAGGTGAAAAGCTGAAAATTAACTAATTATGCTAATAAGGTGATTAATATGCACAAATATTTACCAAAAAATTAATTAGGTCTCTGCACAGTCCTCAAGTAACTATGTACCAAGTTTCATTGAAACGTGATCATTACTACTCGAAATATCAAAAGCTGAAAATTAATTAATTATGCAAATTAGGTAATCAATATGTACTGATATTACCCTAAAAA